AGTTTGGGACCAGGAAGGCAGGTGAAAACAAAGCTTTAAGTGTACGTGCAGCACTGGGTACAAGTTTGCCAGGTCTCGGAGGGCAGAAACGCTGGTCCATGCTTCATAACAGCTGGATTTAAGGGGCTGAGCCGGACTCTTGTTACTGTGGACACTGGTCCATGCTTCTCTGTTGCTGAACTTGCAAAGGGAAGGCACCAGAAAGTCTGTATTTCTTGATTTTCTCGGGTGTGTCTCTGTGGATGCATCTGGTTTGGTTTTAAAGGAATCGGGACTGGGTTTTTAGAACAAGAGCAACAGACGCTCTCGTCTAGCCCTTTTCTCTGAACGGGACAGTTATTGCCGTCTTTAACATCATCCTACAGGACTGTCTCCTTATGAACAACTCTGCAGCAAACGGGGAAGGAAATAGGGGATGTCATTTAAAATAAAAGCCTTGCCTAGCAATTTATGTTTCCAAAGCTTCAGCTGGGTTCTTTTTTCTGTCTTTTCCCATAAGTTTTTGGGTTGTGCTTGACATGGGGCTGGGCAGGCCAAGGTCTCTTGTAGTCAAAAGCCAAATTTCACTGTTGTAGTGTGACGTGGGCACATTAATACCTTTGCGATTATGAGCCTCCTGTGCCATCAGAAAAAACATAACGGGACTGCTCCCAGAAGGCAGAGCACTTCTCAGTATTAGTGGTAATTACAGGTGCTGATCTCTCAGGCGTGATCCCTAATCTATTAACCAGTTAAACAAATGCCCTTTCCTTAAAATGTTTTCCCACATTTGCGGTGGATCCACTTGTAGTTGCATTTTGTCCCCTTTTAGGAAAAACAAATGAGATGACCAGCCATAATGTGAGAAGTGCATGTGCTTAGCCGGGACCCCAGTTTCCTCTCTAGCAGGCTTGACGCATGCAGCTGTATGTGAATCAATACTTTGTAGCTGGGAGGCAAGCATACATTAATTGGTATTTGAATGAAAAGTTTTTACTTCCCTTTTTTTCATATGTGATTCTTTCCGTTTGACTTTACAGGATAACTTTCTGTAAACCATACGTCGCGCTACAGTAATTTATCTGCAAACGTAGCGTGGCTAAGTCAGCCCTATTGGTCTGCATTTCAGTGCTCGTGCAGATCCTAATTCGGGGAGGAACCTCGCAGCACTGCTATGCATCTTGCCATATTTTTTAGGGCTCCCTTGTTGTCTTGGTTCCTGTGCCCTGTAATGAAAATCTGGAAGGAAAGCAGTTAAAGTTGGAAGGACAAAGCTGTCCAGAGGAGATGGGGATCAGGAGGAAGTCCCTTAGTTTGGTTTAGTATTAAAGATTTGTGGCTCACGAATGAAAGAGGAGTATAGAGGATGTGGCATTTTGCAAGGCCACACAGCCATAGCCAGCAAGATAATGCTTTTCTCCGGTAATTATCTGCCAGGCGGTACTAAGGGACAAGCATTTATCGGCATGTTTTGCAAGATGTTACATTTATCCTTTGCATTGACTTTGTCACCAGCTGTAGCTTGCACCCCAGTTTGGAGGGTCCTTGGAAATCTCTTGCACCTGGATACCTCTGCATAAGCCGGGTGCCCGCTGCTTGCCACCGCTCGACCGCAGCTTGCCCAGGCAGTGCAGGACCGTGGTGTGTTCGGCCTCAGTATTGCAATGCTAAATGTTCCCCTGTTCAGCATCACCCCAACGGACTGGCTGGTGAGCACAAAGCCTGTAAGCCAAGATGATGCCACATTGCCTTGGTCATCTGCTTGGCCACGTGCACACTCATCAGCACTCTGAAAACCGTGGCCGTGCCACAGAGTTGAATGGAAAGACAAGAAAGCAGCAACTGGGAGGAGGCTTTGGGTGTCCCATGACGCAGTCTGAAGAACAAGGGCTTCTTGCTGGTGCTCTGCCCGTGCATCTCTTTGTTGTGCCTCTGGGTGCAGGGCTGGATTTAGGACCCCATGAAGACCTCCAGCCACTGCTGGCTGTCAAGTGCCAGGGCTGGTGCCAGCTGCCTGTTTCTGGAATGCCTGGCATTTCAGGAATGCTCCCTCCACCCAGTCAGGAGCTAAATTACACTCGTGGCCTTTGTGCCTTTGAAATGCTGGATGCTGACGGGAACCTGTCCAGTCAGGTCCACTCCATGTCCCTCCAGTGCCCCCAGGCTTCCTGAAAGCGTGCCTTCTCTGACTGGGATGGCTTTCAAGTCTGCTTTTCATTTTCATCGATTTTTAGATGGATTGTGAGAGAGCCAAAGTCTCCATCCTGGGAGATACGTGCATATGCTGGATCTGCATTTGTGAATCTAAGGTCATTTCCTGTTGAATCTGTTAATGCTAATGCATGCATAGTTTTCCTTTATTTCTGAATATATTTTGTGTCTGGCAGCACTTTATCCCATGTTAGTGGCTGCAGTCATCTATTTATCCAACATAACACATACTGTACTCCATCCAGCCCCTTGCAATCTATGAATCCAGCCCAGTCTAGCAAAGCATGTTAAGCCCAATGGGGAAAATTTCCAGAAGTATCTTGGGAGCCCAAGTCCTTTGTCTGCTTGGGAGCGGGGCCACAAGCCAGCACCATCCTGGTCGCTTCTCCCCACCAGGATGACCTGGGGAGCCCTGGAAAAGGAATCTCCAGGCATTTCCCTCCAATCTTCAATCCTTGCTCTTGTATTTTCCTGCAGGGAAGGGGTGGGAATTGGTTTGGCTCTTATGGCACATCTGCAGCATTGCAGGTGGGGGCACAGTGAAGCCAGTTGTGTCTGCTGTGGATGCCCTGCCTCCTGGCCTGAATGTAAAGTCATCCCCTGCCTGGAGCTGGAAGCACGCAGGTCGGCACACTCTTTGGGGATAGCGCATCAGTGCACATCTGCACTAAGACAGATGCTTTGCATCTTTCCGGGGTGGCAGGGCCTTCCCTTGCATGGTCCTGGGGTGGGGAGATGTCATTCTTTCCCATCATGTCACTAATCGGGTAAACGCTCTTAGACTCTCCATGCTCGGTAACTCATCTTACTGACCCTTATTACTGGACCCCTTGGCCTGTCGCATCCCTTCGGGTCATCCTTGCATGGCACGCTGTAGTCCGGAGAGGGTCTGATTTTGCAACCGCTGCACAGAGAAAACAAGAAAAAAATGCGTATTCACCAGAACATCTCTGTGCTTTCTAGATCAGTGGAAGTTTAACCCTAGGAGTTCGGAAAACTTTATTTTTCCACCCCCCCAAGCATCTTTGTTTCTCAAAACTGAATTTGCAGAATAACCAGAAATTTCTCAGGGCATCCAACAAGTGAAGCCTAGCTAATGCTCACCGTTAACGTGGCTTGTAGCGGATGAGAAATTCGTTCTTGCCCAGCTGGTCTAATGGGCAGGTGTGTGAGTGCCTTTGGGCTGAACGCAGTTTTGCACACGCGTGAGATTAAGAACGGTTGTTTGTTTGGAGGGGCAGGATTTGTGTGTCTAATTTGCCCGAGATACGCTTGTAGTAGTACAGTCTTTCCACAAGATGGTGCTCGGGGAGTATTGATTCTCATGTCGCTGCAGGCCAAGCATTTATTTAGGAACGCATGGTGTACCAGCCTCCTTTCAAATCATGATCTCTGCAGCCAAGTCCATAATTGCTGTGCTAGAGTAATTCAAAATTTGCAATAATCCTACAGGTTTTAGGGCAGAAACTGCATTGTCGGCTTGGATGGGAAAGCTGTAGTGTGCTGTGTCCAACCTCAGTTTTAAGCAGCAAATAATCACCAACTCCACTGCGTAGTTTGGAGTTGAGGCCTAGAGGGAGCCTTTGAGATCATGTAGTTTGACATCTCTTAATACCATAGGTCCTTGAATGGTATCTTAATACCATAAGTCCCACAGGATCCCTATATTGAATCCAATATCTTGTGTTTGGTCAGAGTTATGCTCAGAATACTTTCAAAAGGGCACCTGGGCTGGAAATGCAGAGACTCCAAGAGATGGAGAGTCCACCACTTGGCTTTTGGCTGTATTAAAACACTGTTCTTTTGAATGGGCTTGTTTTACTGATAGCAAGGTATGACAGCACTCCTCCCACTGCTCGCTACTCTCTTGGTCTTTGCAGTGATATATTTACTTCTGGATTGTCTATTAAAACACTGAATGGAGTTGGGCCTCAACCCAACCCATGCTGAACCCCCCAGAGACGCCGTCTTTCAAGGGTGGTTCCTGATGGATGGTGATTTTTTTTTTATATAAGCCAGTTCATAATCTATTCGGTTTGTAATCTGTTGAACTGTATAGTTAATCAATTTCAAATCAAAATGCTGTGCGGTACTAAGTCTAGTAGTCCCTTATAAAAGCCCAAAGCATAGCACATCTACCAACCCAACGTGCAAGCTCAACAAAAAAAGTGAAATCAGGTTTATTTGGCAACACCTATTTTCTATAAAGCATGTTGCATTCATTATATTCATAATACTGCATTTATTTTATTCTTGGCCCTTAATGCTTTATTAATAAAAGCCTGCATCAGCGTATCCATTCTTTTGCAAAGGATGGATATGATGCTAACGAGTCTTTAGTTCTCCAGGTCTCCCTGTTTGTTCTTCTTGAATATGGGCCCACAGTTAGCAGTCTTCCAATCTTTTCCTGCAGCTGCCAAGATTTCTTGCAGATGAATGTCAGCAGGCCAGATTTCCTCAGTCATCTTTTTTATGTTGGTGCCATTTTATCTGTGACTGTTTGTTTAAAAAGTTTTCAGTAGCAGATGTTATTAATAAATGTTGCTTAACATCCTTCTTGGTTACTAATGGCCTGGAAAGTACGTCTTCGTCCTCATGTGATGCGGGTATGTGGTCCAGTTCCTTTGCAAAAAAAGAATGGAAATATTTACTGAATGTGGACGCCCTTTCTGTGTTGCCATGAACAGTTTGAGCATCTCCAGCTGCTAAATGGGCCTCTGTCGTTGCTAGGATGTCTTTGGGGCCTGTTGCACGCAAGTGATCTCCTTATGGATCAGATGCCCCATCTTCTCTTGTGTTTGCTTTGGCAGGTACAGTCACCCAGTCACGCGCAGTGGAGCGAAAGCCCAGGCCAGCAACCACGAGATGAAAATGAAGGGTCCAGAGCCGGTGATTAGCCAGATTATCGACAAGCTGAAGCACATCAACCAGGTGGGTGTGGGGTTGAAGAATTGCCCTGTCCGTCCTACTTCTCCCATTCCTTTGCTCCTTTGGGTGAATGTAATCCAAGTGGGTGTGATGGGCCACTGGCCCTGCTCGGAGCTTGGCTCATCACAGGGCCCAGCTATTTACTCACAGGAGAGATTGTGCCAAGGTCAATGGCGAGGCTGGGATCCGTGCCCGGCTCTGTTGTTGTGGGGCTGCTCAGTTCAGCAGCTAGCAGGGGGCTGTGGTCTGTGGCAGCAGGTCTGGGTTCCCTGGGTGGAAAATGCAGAGCTGAGAAAACCCCAGAGGATCCACTGTGGCTGCACCACTGGTCCCAGTTCCCTCGAGCAAGCACCACTGTTAAGGACCAGTGACAGGCCAGTCCTGTATTGTGTGACAAGGCTCAGGAAAGCACCCGTTACCCTCCAGGGACCGAAGCCAGCCTGTGGGATCTGCTCCTGCAGGAAGCCGTGATGCCAAGCACCACAGCAGGGTCTTGAATAGGACTGGTGGGCGAATAGAAAACTAAGGACAACATTAACTAAGTTATGTATGTGGGGCAGGGGCCTTCTTGCACATCCCTGGTTCTGTATTTGTGGTTGTGTGTGTTCTCCTGCCCTGCAGAAGATGAACTGAAGTAGAGTAGGTTGCCCTTGCTGCATTTAGGGGGAAGCTGCCCGAGGATAGTTGCCCATTCCTATGGAACAGGAGTGGACCCATGGAGTGGCTCATGTGCGTGGAGTCCCGCTCCAGAACTTTTTATGAAAGTCTGCATGAGCCCCAGGATAAGGGCCAATGCAATAATAACCAAATCCTGAGGTTTGTGTCATACGCTGATCATTGCAGGGCCCTGGCAGGAATGTCTGTTCCTTACCCAATTTTTTGGCAGGTTTTACCTTCATTTGAAGTGCAGGCTGCTGCCATTATATGATCATTGCCCATTATGTTTCTCCATGTAGTCTAGTGTCGGCCTCTCCCCTTATCCCAAGCCTGAGGGACTCTGCTCTCATCCCTGCTTTGCTACGTTGGACCTAGATGCAGCTGCTTGTCCGATGTGACTTGATGGCCAGGTTGGGGGGCACAGGTCTTCATGGTTGCTGGGGAAGTGCAGCTTTGGGAAAGTCAAGCAATAACATGCCCTTGGAGATGGCAGCTGCAGGGCAAGGCCTGCAGCAGGAAGAGCTGGCTTGGACTCTTGCCCGCAGGAGGGGAGGGGTTTTACACCCATCAGGTAATAAAAGACCTCTTCAGGTTAAAACAAACACGGCTTATCAGGCTGCCAGGCAAGTAAGCATGCTCTTTCCTGATGCTAACCTCAGCTTTCTCGCTCCAGTGCATGCCACGGCACTGTTTTCATAGCATTTCCCAGTTTAATCCTGCTGACCTCAGACACAGGCATGCCTCATTACCCCTCAGCTGGGTGGAGCAGCCGGCCGCTTTGCACTTGTACAAAGATGATACACAGCAGCTGTGCTTAGCATCAAGGGAGCAGGCCCTCAGTGTTGCTCCACGATCGTAAAGCAATGCAAATGGCCAGCAGCGCATGATTATTAAAAGGGAAATAAAGTATAATCAGCTCCCTGTTAAACTGGGAAGAGGGCAGGTTTCAACCTGCAGGAGATGATAATGTTTTGCCGTGCACAGCGAGAGGGAGAGGCGCGCTGAACCAAACGTGGTTATTAGCATACTTGAAACTGCTGACACAAAGCAGTTGTGAAATGCTGGCTGCCGGGCTGGGTCAAGTTATCGGTCCGCTCCTGAACGGTCGAGTCTGCTCATGGAGTTGGAGACGGTGGGTAAACATGGCATGGCTGCATTCAGCTGTATAAAGCTGTGGACTTTGCCCGTCACCCCTGGTCTAGCAAAAACTCAGGGGTGGAAAATGGCCATTGCTGCTGACCCTCACGCACTGCTTCTGTTTGCTTTCAGAGCTGGAAAACACAAAGGGATTTTCTTGTTGCTTAGGAAAATCTGAGCGTACAGAGATGCCAAATGCTTCCGTGAAGGTTGTTTTGTGGGGGGAAAGGTCAGGTCTGACCACGAAATACAAATGGTGAATGTCACGTTTGGGAAGCGAAAGGCAATCCTCAAGAAGCGACTCATTAGGAACCCAGCTCTTGGGTCTGGGACGGATGTTGCATAAACCAGTTTGAGCCAAATCAGTTCAGTTGGATACTGCGTTCAACCAGGTAGAGCTCAAACCAGTTTCAGCCATTTTCAAACTGGTTTATGCACCCTGAACATCCGTTCTGTTACAGGTTTAAACCAGTTTCTGACCACTTAAACTGGTTAATGTGTAATGTCTGTCCCTAGTCTTAGTGTCAGAGTTCGTAGATTAAGGTGAAAGGTTCAGATCCAGCTAAAAAGGCAATTTGGGTGTTACTGAAACTTGGGGTTTGGGGGGTTGAATCTCACCATGATCCCTAGGGACAGAAATAGGGCTGGCAGGGGCCTCCAGGGGTCTTTTAGTCCAGCACCCTGCCTGAGGCAGGACCATCCTTGGTCCCAGTGGGGTTTTCCGGTCTCTCTCCCGTATCTGGAGAATTCCCCAATGGAGGAGGTGTGAGAAGGCCTTAATTTCTAGTTGTATTCCTCTTTAGATCTAGAAAGCACCGTGGACCCCCAGGTTGAAGGAGAGGTGAGGAAAAACCGCTCATTTGCTCTGCTCTGGTGGAGAGCACTGTTTTTAAGGAGCTGCCTTCAGATTCTCAGGGCGCACTGGAGCTGCTTTTCAGCTAGATGCAAAGACGAGGTCTGTCTACTACAAAGCCCTCTCAATTAACTCCACAGGAAAAGTGGAGTGGATGTACAGCACATAGCATATGCCTCGCAGGAAACGAGTGTCTAGCTACTTCAGAGGAAGTGAGAAGTAAATATGCACTGGAGAAAGTTATGCTGGTGTCTGCTCCCCTTATCCATGTCACTGGGCTTGGTGCTTGCTCAGTGCAAATGAGCTTCTACTAACCAGATGCTGCAATAGCAACACCTACTTTGGGCAGCCAACTTGAGAGAAGTTACTGCAGAGTAATTTTAACTGCAGAGTGAAATCTGGGTCGTAGAAACTGTCCTGTGTCTGCACTCTATCTGCTCAGATTTCCAATCTGCATTTCCCACGGTATCCAGTAGATGGGCACAGCACATTGCAAATGCTGCCTAGTCTGTTGTTTTATTTGAAGGCGGTCCAGTCCTGATCCTAGACATGTAGGTACCCAGGATAGCTCTACACCGCACCAGGAGAAGCAGCGTATGAGCCTGTGCAGCGTTCTGTGCCAACACAGCTATGTTGCTGCCATTGCCCAAGCTAGCTTGGATAGCTGCAGCCCGGCTTCCCATGTACCTGTACCCATACTTACTGTTTTAGTTGGGCTGTTTAGTTGGCTGTTTTCTTATTCCTGGATATTAAGAAGTGTAATTTTACAAAGCTTTAGCCTGTATTTATATACTGCTTTGCATGTTCCTCAAGAAGAATAGTCTTTTCAAAGGGTGACAAGACTTCAAAAGTCTTTGGAGCGTGCTTAAATTTGGCAAATAAATTGTGTGGTCCAGCCACTCATGACCTTCACAGTTTGGATGCAAATAAATGCATTTGTGTCCTGCAACATGCATGTGCAATATTCTCTTCTGTGTGTGCATTTTGCTTTTATTGAGAAGCAATTTCTTAACAAATTGTTCTCATCTTTGTTCTTACACTAGAGTGGCATGTCCAGAGGCTGGAAGGAATCGATCAAGTGGATATTCTGCAAAAGTGAAATAAAGAGGCCTGCCTGAGTTTTATTAGCCCAGTTTAACAACCTTTTAAAACATAAGAAGTATAACATTTTGAGAGAGTTTGACATCTCAGTTGGATCTTTTTTGGAATGAGTCACGCTCCAAGATTCCTGATAATCAGTTGGAAGCCCCTGACCATCTTTGTTTCCATTTCTCTGTCTGATTTGTGGGTGGCTCTATTTTTTGTCGCTACGTGGGCGAGCTGCTTTATTATCATCAGGCTGGAACTGGGAATTTTTGGATCCTGTTGCATTTCTATCAGTTGTGATTTGGAGTTATTTTTGCTCCACGCCCAGCAGCACGTATAGCTCATCCATAAATATTAGTATTGCTATCTCAGCTGGGAGGCCAGGGGTCACTTCTGGGGAAATAAGTCTGAACTGATCCACAATTTGGTTTCTCAGAGCGGGTGAGGTCACTCTCTAACTAGATGGGTTTTTGCTTGTCCGTATTTGAAGCAGCTGGACTGATGGTTGAAACCGCAGAGTGTATTCAGTGGCAGTGCAGGTTGCTTGTCCTGACAGCTTTGCTTGTCACTGAATAATAAGTTTGAAGCTTCTGCTTAGATTTGTCCTCCGTGCAGCTTGGCTTCCTTCCCGCAGGGAGATTCGGTATGGCTGGCAGCAGGACAGCACCTGCTGCGTGTTTCCCTGGTGGCAAGTTGCTGCTTCTTGCTTTGACCAGGTCTCTTGTGTCAAACCCCTCAACTACCCTGGGTGCTGTGAGTTGCGTGCACCTCTGGGAACATAGGAAAAGGGATAGGGATGTTCATTCCCTGTGAGAGTGCGGTTAAAGGTTTTAACACAAGAACCATTCCCATAGTCGCCGTGGTGTGTACAAGCGCCCCTTGTCCCTAGCAAGGAGCACCTTCCCCAGAGCCAAACGGTCTTGGAAGCTTCTAGCTCCTGGTCAGGAAGGGGGACTTACCCTGAGGAGCCTTCCAGCTCTTTTTCTTCCTATTTCCATCAAGCCTTACGTCTCCTGATAGCTGAGGGGAGCCAGAGCTCAGCTACTTGGCTTCTGTTGAGCGCCCCTCCCCACCAAACCCTCCAACCAGGTCTGTGCATTATCAACTGATGCTTCTGGTGCCAGACTTCTGCTGTTCTGTCCTGTTCTTGGGTATGAACCAAACAGGAGCAGTTGCCTGTCCACAAAGGAACAGCTTTCAGTCCCCAAGTGTGGTGTAGATTTGGGGTTGTGAATGCCAGTCGTGCATAGGAGCCAGTGTGGGAAGGTGG